CTAAAGAACTCATCCAGAGGAACTACTTATTTTTTCTTTTTGATTTTTTCTACCTGGATTAGGACGTTTTCCATGTAGTTGCTCCAGTTGACCACTAGATGTCAGTCTTCACCAGCATAACATCTTTAAATCATTTCTGAGTCTCTAACACTGTTGGCCAATTGCTTTACGTCAAGAATTGAGCTCCAGCGTTTAAACCTTTTTTTTTAAAGGAGCTCTGATTGTAAAGTAAAATAAATCAATACATACAAAATTTTAGTATGGATTACAAACATTAACCGTTTTTACTGGGAAAGGGAGTTATAAACACTGCCTTCCTGCTACGTAAGCAGACATAAAGCATTATGGGAAATCCGAAGCGTGGCCAAATGCAACAGTCAGCAGGATGTTTACCTTTCAATACGTGTGTTTATCTGGGAGGGGTGCTGTTGGATAGATCACGTGTTGTGATTCACTGACAGTCATACCATCTGCTGTTCATCATAATGATGACTGGTAGATAATTAGTTATTAGTGGTACTGCATTTTAATTTTAGAAAGCGCAAATCTGCTTATGAATTATAAAAATTAGTAAGACCGCTAAAGCACAAATGAAATATTTAGGTCCGCAATTAGTGGATTTGCGTTTTAGCGGACTGGTGCCCACCACTGCTTTTCAAGCCTTCAGTTATTTGAATAAAGTCTGCAGCTGGCCTCTCCTCACCTGTCTCCAGGTACCACAGGTCTTTGCAGCACACCTGGTAGTTCCAATTCTTGCGGTACCCATCTCGGCCGCTCCAAACATAGAGCCTGGAGCCCACGGTGGCGGCGCAGTGTCCGGCCCTGGCTCTGGGCCAGCTGGCGTGCGGGTCCTCGCTCTGAGGGGTCTGGACCTGCAGCTGGGCCTCCAGGTGGTCCTTCTGCTCCGGGCCGAGCCTCTGCCAGCACATGGAGTCTGCGACACAGAAACCAGACCAGGGTGACCCCTGCAGGACTGGAGGAAAGGCGCTCCGCCCTGACTCGATAAGAACCAACCTAAGTTCAGTACGTTTAAGGAGTTGGTGCACATCCACTCCGCTTCTGCTGAGACCCGTTTCTCTGACCCCGGAACCAGAACCCAGCCTCCGAACACAAACATTCTGCAGACAGAGGGACACGAGTCAAACCCTGACCTCAGCTGGTCACTCTGAACCAGCTGTGAGGGTCACGTACTTGTTTCCAATCACGTTGGCAGAGTGAAGACTTCTGGGAAGAGGGGCGGAGCCTCTGGTTACCGGGGTCGACCAAACCATGGAGCCTGACAGAGAGAAGAGAGACACGTTAGTCCAAACATGGGTCATCCTGGTCCTGGAGGGCCGCAGCCCTGCAGGTTTCACTTGTTTCTCTGCTCCAACACCTGATATGAAGAAATAGATGATTATCAGGCTTCTGCAGTACGGAGGACCAAAACTGACATAATTAGAAATAAAAGCAGGATTATATGAAACACTAAATAAATACATTTAAAATGCACCAATTAAATTAAAACAGGAGAACTTTATCTCCTGTTTTATATTTTAATTGACGTTCATATTTATTTTTCCAGGTTAGTTCCAATAAATTAGTCTATAAATTTTAACATATAATTTAACCCTTTGAGGTCGACGCCCGCTCTGGAGCAGGCAAAGCCGTGATGCATTTAAAGGGCTACTGAAAAAAAAGGCAGCATACGGAGTTTTCATTTGAACTAGGTTGGACAGTACGGACTTCAAACTTCATAAAAGTAATGTTTTTATATAGTTTTATTTTTTAATTTCTTCCAAATAAAACCAGATTTAATGATGAATAATTTTTTGCCATAATGTGCGCATTTTTACACATTTGGTGCGCATTTAGAGAACGTTTTGTGACCAGGAAGTGCTTGACTGCACCAAGAAACCTAGTTTTCCCATTTCCTCAAACACACCACATTTCCGAAACAACCAATCAAAACAGTCTGTCGGGAGGCTAATGACAGCTAGGTTCTGGCCGGCCGCAAAGATTTGGAGACAGGCTGAGAACGGATTGATTTCGGCATTTTGGGTTTAGCTAGTAGCGGGTTAGTTTTTAGACCAGATGTGTGTTAGAGTGTGTGTGCAGTGTTTGTAGTAGTGTTAGTCAGTCTGTGTGTCAAAATGAAACACTAAAATCATAAAGCTGAGGTTGTGCTGAAAATACTGATACCAAACAAGGGAAGGTAAATAGTTTTTAAAGTGGAAATAAGGGTAAACTCAAACTTTGTCAAAAACAGCTATTTAGACCCCAAACCTTAGAGGGTTAAATTTTACTTTTTTTTAAATATTTATTAATTGTTTTTCCTTTTACTTGTACATGAATTTGTGTGTCTTAAATGTTTATAATTAATTTTTTTTTTACTTTTGTCCAACAAGTCTTTTTATGTCTTTGTGTTGCATGCTTGTGCTGCCTCAGTTTAGCTACAAGTGTAAAGTTTAGTTTAAAAC